CATAAATTTTGCAATTATCGATATATGTTTTGCTCCAATTATTATATTTTCGATAAATTGTTGTTCCATCTATCTCTGGGAATCCAATCGCTAATGAGAGTCAAAGTAATCTATAGTTGTTCTCATCTTATTTTGAAGCACAGGGTATCTTCAGAGCTATGCCCTTCTCTGAAACTTCTTCTGGGCTCTTCTCTATATTTCTGTTTTCTTCATATTAATCGTCGAATTATGTGTAGTTCTTCTATATATACATACATACATATATACTGTTGCTTTTATATTTGTTTCGCTATTCGCTAATTTAAATGACAGCTCAATGAGCTCAGCCACAAGGGCGATGACAACAGAGCCCAGTTGTTCGATGGTTGGATGACCATTGCCCACTGCATAATGATGATGATGATGAGGTTGATGAGGATGAGGATGGCGATAATGATGGATGATGAAATGTGCTTGCTCATATATATATTCTGGTAAATATTTAAAAAGGGACACAGCAAGAAATTGCAATTAATCCATAGATTTTAAAATTAACTTCAAGTCTGGCAAATTAATCAACTCGACAGACATGAAGAGTCATTGTAGATGAATCTAGTTCATATACTGGTAAATTGTACATCATTTATATACAATTATACATATACTCTCTAAAATATATTTTTCTTTCTCATTTCTAGTCTAGTCTTGTTAGTCCTAATAAAATTGGATTAAATTTTCATTTTAGCAATTTAATTTAATTAATTTTACACAATATTCATTCCAATCTATGGAGAACCAGTTCCAATTTCGTTAGCTTCGTAACTTTCCACTCACATATTATAATACATGCAAATACGACGACAATTAATTAAGTCGAATCAAGAAATCAGCGAGACGTTTGCAATTGTAGTTCCGAATAAAAGACCTCTATTCCTCTCTCCCTCTCTCTCACTCTATCGCACTCTTCCCTTCCTTTCTTTCATGCTTTCCCCATCTCACTCTTTGGCCTCCCACACGGCTATCAATTTACCCATTTTGTTATCCAATTGTTCGCTTGAATTATTTAACCAGCTTCAACTGAATCTGGCTAGTGGTTTAGCTATTATATAAAGATAACAAAACATATACAAATATACGTATTTTCTCTCTCTTTCTAAGGCCACTCCTCTTTATCCCTCTCTAACTATTGATATACTTTCATTTTCATTCGATTGAGTGGGGCTACGGTTCAGTCTGTGATCTTAACCACATAAAAGCCGTCAATCAGTCAGCAGGTTCCACTTAATTTTTCGCCTCTACACTTGATACAACATACGATTTCCCTAGCTTCCATCGTTGCTCTGTCTCCCTTTACACACACACACACACTCACACAGACATGTGCCGCAAGCAAGCAAGTGCACTTGCAACAACTTGTGCCCTTGCCACATTGCATCAATCAGAGTCGAGCCGGCACAGCACTTCAATAACCACCAACTGGACAACTTCTGGGCCAAAAGGAAAAGCAAGAAAATTTGTCTTATGTAAAATACATAACAGGCAAGCCAGCTGTCAAGTGCAGCCCATTTGAGTACCCCTTGTAAATGGCCAAGTTTGTTTGGGGCATATCAGACATTAGATACTGAATGGGCTAGAAAAGTGGTATTCAAAAAATGAAGGTTATATTTTACATTTATAAGAAATATATGAAAAACTAAGGATATAAATCTAAAATTTAATATGAATAATAAAATAAAGGTATTGGAAGTTATCTTTCACATTCACTCATTTACAGGATATCTAGCTAGTCGATCATTTTCAACATAATTTCCCACATGTTTTGCCTCTGCTTGTTTTACAGGCATTACAACGCAAAAGCTGTTGCTAAGCCGGCAAAGTCGGACAAAGCAGATGAGACAGACAGACAAAGAGTGAACAAGTGAGTGAGCGAGAGAGAGAGGGAGAAGGATATTCGCTGCATTACTCATACGACGCGTTGTCTCGAGTCGGGCGTCTGCTGCTGCCTCTGCCCGTGTCTTTGCTGTGGTTATTTTTAATGCCAAGCCACATAATTCATTGTAATTTGCCAGCCGCTTTACATTTTCCAGTTGCAGTTGTCTTTATGCCAGCATATACAGACAAACATCCGCACATACAGATACATAACATAAGTGGTCATAATCAGCTGTGGCTGTATGTGTGTTTGGGAGGGGCCTTGACTTTGTCTTTAGCACTAAACTTGGCAACGGCTCTACCCCATTTGCAGTTGATCAATCAATTTATCAGACTAACACACACTWACAGTGACTCACACAGTCTCACACACACACACACACATATACCCACAGACTCAACCCACATACATAACAAATTAGTCATCACATAACTGTTTGGCCAAACGAATGACACAACTGTCACCAACCACTACAACAACCTAATCCATAAACAGAATATTTAAAATGATATTCACCGCATTGAAGCACAGTAAATACCCTACGACAAATGTTACAAAATTCCAGTTTGTTGGGAAAAATAATATACAAATATTTTTTATTTATTTATTTAAGTCATTTTGGAACCAGTTATGCGAACATTTATGATTATTATTTTACGTCGCGCATGAGAAACAGAGAAAAAATTAATTTAGTAAAATCACTTATGAACTTGTGAAGTGGTTCACTTTCCTAATGAACTGGTTCAATATATTGCCGGCGAACTGGTTTATCGTATTATTAATGAACTAGTTTCTAAGAAACAGAGAGAAAAGCTCTAACTTTCGACTTTACAAATATTTTAAAACTTTTTTAAATAATTGTTATTGCGTAGGATTACATTTTTTATTAAAAATTATTTACATATGTACGTGTACTTGGAATTAAGCTAGTTTACATTTCGTTGATTTGATTTATGAACCAAGTTCGTATACCAATTAGCGTTGGCTCTTTTAAGCCATTTCTTTATGCTAATCATAAAAATATTTTTACTATTCAACCTAAACTTTTTCCTAGTTCACAGTGCACGTAAGCCACGCAACAACAAAATTACTTTTGGGGTATAAAGCTTTCTTTCTCTTTTCCTTGTTCTCTCTCCCTCCCTTTCTCTCCTTACAATTGAGCGAAAATTTGTGCGCTTTAAAGTGCGCTTAATTGAAGCGACCTTTTGTGTCACGCCCCTGTTATTGTTGTTGATGGGCAACGATTGAAGTCCCGTCCTCGCCCCCCTTCAGCCCCATCATCTAGCTGGCTGGCTAGCTAGTTCGCCTGCTTGGTCGCCCACACACGAACATTTTCTCAGCTAATTTCATTGATGAATTTTTATTAAATAAATTATTATAATGAGACAACCTCTGGAGGGYCCCCTTTGGGGCATGTTGCAAGTCAACGAACGAACGTCTATAAAAGATGGCAGAAATAAAAGCCAGAATGCGAAGAGCAGTGGAGAGGTAGAGCAAAAAAAGTGGCACACAACAAAGCGCACAAATTTTTGGCACACAAATGTGGCGCGTGTTCGCACTTTACTGCAGACCCCAAGCCCGTCGCCCCAAACTCCCCCCAGCACTCGAACCGCAATCGAGCAAGAATTCCAAAGAAAAATCTGGATAGGACTGAGTGTTACGATATCAATACGAAGCGCGTTCAAACAATTGCGTCTAAATTTAGTACACAGCATTAGAAATGTCCACAAATCGCAGCTCAGGGTCTGTCGGCACTATAAATAGCTCTCCGCTAGCCTAATTGATTATAAGAACATAAACTCGGACTGTCGACACAAATGTTTGGACAGCACAAATAGACGCCGATAAGGAAGAGCTGCGATTCTAAACAAAGCTGGAACGTTCGTTCGACTGCCAAATGAATGAACAAGAATTTTTGTGAATGAACCGAACCGAAACTAAATGACTGACAGAGGCAGAACAGATGCTGAAGATCAACATCATAATCACAAAACTATAAATTAACATAGAATGAGCATTTTGAAAAGAATTTCTGATCTATATATATATAATGCTATAAAAAAGATTGTTTGCGAGTATTGTTACCGAGAAATTATAGTATAATTTGCTGGAAAAATAGATATACTATAATAACCTAAGATCTATTGAAATAAATAATCGGTCGAAGGCTAAGCGATATTTTTATAACATTTTGATTTTATTGCCGCAGGCAATAGGAAATAGATTTGATCGATAAGGATAAACTGATATTAAAATCTTACATTTGCTTCATTTTGCTTTTAAAATAAAAATATTTACTGCCTATATTATTACTTAGTAAACGATCTAAAATTCTTCAAGAACTATAATTAATAGTATGAAACTAAGCTAATTAAATTTGAAATGTATTATCGATACATTGATCGAACAGAATTTCTATAAGTTGCCAATCGATAACGACAGTTTTTTTTTTCTTTTTTGTATTTCTTATAAAATTCAATTCAGCAATAGTTCACATTCAAATATAGATATCCTCCTTATATCCTTTTATTCATGCCTAGCTCAATTGACTGCTATCGACACATCAGCTCCTTCGATATCGACAATTTACAAAGTCTTATCTACATTTGCTAATTTGCTGTCTGGTCTGAGTTATCTTTACCCATATTACGCATATCTGGGATGACTCATATAAAATTTTTTGGGCACATCTCCCGATCTATCATGCAGTTTATTTAAAGCACATGATTTCACATCTGGGCAGGCTACAATTAGTGCATTTCTTTCGCTCAGCTAGCGAACGAGAATGATTTATGCTTAAAGTGTGGAATCAAATCAATCTCAATTGAAAGGCAATGCTTTGCTGGCAAAAGTAATCGAATATATTTTCAGAATTTATATCATTTAAGTATCATCTACCGTTATATATAATAGATGTTCATTTTTCAGTCCCCTCCTACGTTTTTTTTATTTGTTATTTTTAGATATTATCTATTAAACAATATAGGATTAAGTAAAATATTCCATTCCATTGCTAAGACATGTATATTTTCATTATGATTATTATTCATCTATTCTATAACTGTAATATTTTCATATTTGCACTTACCTTTCAGTCTCTGATTCTGCATTTGGTTGCTGCTGTAGCTGTTGTATTTGTTGCTGTGTTGTTGTTGATGATGTTGCTGCTGCTGTTGCTGCGGCTGTTGTAGAAGCAGCCGATGTTGCTGCTGCTGCTGCTGCAGTTGCCGCTGATGTCGATTGTTGCTGTTCGTCGCTCAATGCCAGCGATGTTGTCGTTGCATCCACTGCTGTTGCAGTTGCATTTGTTAAATTCACATTGCTGTTGGCACTGACACTCGCGATATTTGTTGGCGGTAATTGTGGTTGAGTCTGTGATGATGTTGCTGCTGCTGCTGCTGCTGCTGCTGCGGCTTGTTGCTGCTGCTCGTCAAGCACCAACTGCTGCACATCGGCAATTGTTGCTGGCGCGCTTTGCAACTGCATTGCAGGTATTGCTGCTGGTGTTGCTGCAACAGCTGTTGGCTCGTAACTGTTCAGATGCGTCAGCAATGGCAACGTTTGGCCAGCTGCAACTGTTGCTGCTGCATTAACTACAGTGGCTGCTGCCACTGCTGTTGCTGTGCCGGCAACTGTTGCTGCTGTGCTAGTGGAAGTGTTTGAAGTCTGATTTGCCGCTGCTACGGCTGCTGCTGCTGCTGTTGCAGCTGGGAATGCTGCAGTGGCCGGTGCAATGCCATCGATTTGCGATGTTGCCTGTGGCTGTTGTTGTTGTTGCTGCGGCTCCAACTGGAAGTTCGGCGGTGGCTGTTGCTGCCCGGCAGCAACTGCTGCGAATGTGGGCGGCGGTGCCTGAGGCGTTTGCGTGGCAGGCGACAATGGCTGCTGCTGCTGCTCCACATAGCTGTTGCTCATGTTGCTCTCCCCGACAACAACTGTTGCTCCTGTGCCAGCAACATTTGTGTTGCTGTTGTTGTTGTTGTTGTTATTGCTGCTGCTGCTGTTGCTGCCGCTCGTGGCCGGTAAATAGCCTGCACTCGTATTGCCTGCCACATCCATTGCTGCCGCAGCGGCCGCAGCTGCTGCTGCTGCGAGCTCCTGTTGCTTCAGCTGCTGCAGCGACTGTTGCAGCTGCTGGGCCGCTGCTGTGGCATAGTCCATTGGCAACGTCTGCCCATGCTGAGACCCCTCCGCATTGGCATTGGGCGTGCCTGCATTAGCATTGACGCTGTCATAGAGCTGCTGCTGCTGCTGTTGTTGCTGCTGCTGCTGTTGTTGCTGCGCTTCGCTGTTGGCCGCATTTACAAATTGCTGCATGCCATGCACCACAGTGGCAGGGGCGGTCATTACACCGCTGGGCGTGCCCGTCATGTGTATGCCAGCCGCCGCACCGCCAATTGTTGCTGTCCCATTACCAGTGCCCGCCTGCAACTGTTGCTGTTGCGTCTGTTGCTGCTGCTGCTGCTGGTCGGAATAATTCCAATTGGCATCCGCCGAGGCCGCCTCCAAGTGATTCTCGTGCAGCATACTCGGCGGCAAAATCATGCTCTGCGTTGTCTTTGGGAGATCGCAGCCACCCTCCAGCATGTTGCTGCCGGGCCCGATGCCACCAGCACCAACACCCACACCAGCACCAACACTGGCCGATGTGCCTTCCGTGTTACCAGTCTTTTCATTGTTATTGGCCGCACCCACACTCGAGTGATCCAGATAATCCATGCACATCCAGCGGCCACGCTTGAACGGCTCCGTCGACTCGATCTTGACCACCTTAAAGCGTTCGCTGCGATGTTGCGTCTCCTTCATGTCTTCCTTTTTCTTGGTGCCGCCGGGCGTCACCGCCGCGCTGACCACATTGATGATATTATCCGAGACGTTCACCTGGACGTTCTGTATGGTCTGGCCCAGCGCTGGGCCAATCGGGTCAACCACAACGAGGCCGTACTGTGAACTGGTGGGTATCACCGGCGCTGTGGTGCTCAATGCATTGTTGGCAAAGAAGACTTCCTCCTTGGAGAACGTGTCCTCCGACATGGATGGCGTTTCATTCTCTAGATCTGTAATCCGACTATTGTCATCCGTATGAGATTCATCTAGATCATCGGCAGACTCGTCGCCCGTGTCGCCGGCAGCATTCAGCTTGGCGTGACCCACAGTCACCGAGGTGATTTGAAATGAGGAAGTCGTCTTTGGTTTGCGATTGTTGCCGCCGACAGAAGATGCTGCGGCTGCATTAGTTGCTGCTGCTGCTGCTGCTGTGGCTGCTGTTGACTGATGTCCCTGGCTGTGGCTGGTGTGATGCGGATGATGATGATGCTGGTGATGATGATGGTGCCCATGATGTGCCGACTGCTGCTGCTGTTGCTGTGGCCATGGCGCTGTAATGTTACGCAGCGCACCGCCATTGTTATTGGGCGAGCTGGGCTTGTTGCCAGCAGCATGGCTGGTGTTGGTGCTGCTGTTGCTGCTGCTGCTAGTTGCCGCTGTGGCCGTTGTCGCCGTCGAGTGATTGCTGCTGCTCGATTTCGGTGCCAGCGACAAGCTGCTGTTGCTGCTGGCACGCGATACACTCACGCTGCCGTCAGCAACTGTTGCTGTTGCTGGCGTTGCATTGCCGCGACTCAACGCATTCAAGCGCAGGCTTTCGCTGGTGGTGCGCTGAATGTTGTTACTGTTGTTGGTGCTGTTGCTGTTGCTGTTGTTGCTATTGTTGCTGTTGTTCTGATGCGCATGCGCCGCCTGATGATGCAAGTGCGAGACATGATGATGATGATGTTGCCCGCTGCCGCTCAGCGAGTTGACCTTGGTCAACGGCGGCTTCTTGATGCTGGTGGTGCCAACCACGCCCACAACGCCACGCCCCGGCGTCTGTATGGAATTTCGACGAGCGGGCGCATTGCCCCCACCAGCAGCTGCCCCACCTGTGGGCTTGAACTTTGCATTCAGATGGCGATCAAACATGTTGATGCTGGCGCGTTGCTGTTGCTGTGGTATATTGCTCGACCGGCGTACTCCCGCTGTTGTTGTTGTTGTTGCTGCTGCTGCTACGAGTGTTGATGTTGCTGTTGCTGCTGTGTTGGCTACGATGCTGTGCGTCTCCTGTGAACTTTCGGGCGATGAGGCGGCCGAATTGCTGCCGCTGGCCTGACCGCTATTTGCAATTGTTGCTGCTGTGCTGAGCTGATGCTGATGTTGCTGTTGATGTTGATGTTGCTGCTGTTGCTGTTGTTGCTGTTGTTGCTGACCGGAATCTTCGTTAGCAGCGCTTTGATTCTCGGCCATAATCGAATTGGATTTCAGCGTGCGCAAAGTTTTCAGCAAATAATCCAGTTTTGCTGACAATTACTCTTGGATTATTTGTGGACGAAGAAAATAATATATGTGCTATTATATATTTAATTTTTTTTGTTTTTGGTACTTTAATTTAATGTTTTTATATTTCGTTTTTTTTTTTTTTATTTTTTTTTTTTTTAGTTAGATTTGCTGTTGCTGCTGGTTATTGGCAATTGTTGCTGCGATTTGCCCACTTCGAAGATGAAACTAGCGGCTGCCAAACGACGACGACGATACATAGCGAACCGCTGCGACCGTTACAGGTGCAACTCAAATGACGAACTGCGACGGCGACGGCGGCGACGACGACGACAACCGACAAACCGTAAACCGAATAGCGCGAAACAGTTGTAGCAATTGTTGCTGCTGCGATTGCTGTCGATGTTGTTGTTGTTGTTGATTTTGTTATGCTAAGTAATAAATTGAAATTTATTTGTTGTTGTTGCTTAGCTATATAATTCGGCTTTGCGCGTTTTATTAGCAACAATCAGAGGAGCGCGGCGCGCAATAACTAAATGAGCCGCCAGCTCGCAGAGCAGCGCCATCTAGCGGGCACATATAGAGGCACACACACGCACACGCACATACACAGGCACATACACACACATACAGCACAGCTGTTGTAAATATTATTTACTTAAATGTAACACAAATATTTATTTTAAATTAATTTTTCTTTTTGGATTTATATTTATATATATTTCTTATGTTATTTTATTTTATTTTATCTTTTTAATTATTTAACTATTTGTTGTTGTATTTGTTTAACTAAGAATTTTAATTTAACTTTAGCATGAAATTAAAAACTTTGTTATTGTTGCACTTTTCTATATAACCAACAAAAACACACACAAAATTGATTTTTGCATTTGTTTTGTTTACATTTGTTTTGTTTTGCTTTTTATTATGATTTCAATTTCCTGGTGCCCCGTTTACTAGCAATGCAGTAAGCTGTAGAAATTTAATTCCTGCAAAGAGAGTGAGTGAGAAAGAGAGAGAGAAATTTAAAAATAAATATAAATAATTGATTTAAGTATTTTGTTTAGCGAGAATCGAATTGAATATGTCATACGAGTTATTCGAGTAGTTTATTTAATCAACGATTGCCAGGCACACACATTGGACGCCATGATTAAAGTGAAATTCTCCGATGACTATTAAACAATGGGAATGTGATATGAGCTATGCATAAGTCTGGAGAAACGTAAACAGCTTCTATAGATAAGGTGAATAATATTTACATTGGAGCTCTCATTACAAAGATCTTTCTGTCTCTGCGAAGGGAAGCTCTGTGGGGACTCTTGGCATAAGTTTTTAAGCTGTGGGAATTATTTGAATCAACCTTTGGACAACTACATATATAAAATATCAATATATCATATAATCAGATAAATATGTTACATCAAATCTTCGATGAATCGTATAATAAAATAAGTCCAAAGAAATTTGTATACCTATGGAATATTTCAATTTTGCATTTCAGAAGAGGGTATACTACCATTATAATACGTATAGAATTCTAAATGTGTATAAGACATCGCTTCAAGATATGACTAGAATTATCGATTAGAGTCCATCAAACTATTTGCCTTCTATAAATAGCTACTCTATCTACCTTTAAAGCATTCTGAAAAATTAACCTTAACTTTATGTTATAACTCTTATCTGATGCTTCTCTATTTCCATAGGAAAAGTTTAAATAGTTTATGATCTATAGTCAGTTTTAACTACTTCAAAGCTGAAAAGAAGTTGAGCAAAGTGCTAATAACTTTATATCACTGAAAATGCTCAAGTTTCAATGTTCCTAAATAAGTTTAGAGACAGGAGATAAGAGTAATAAAATGCTCTAATCAAAACATAAGAAAAGAAATGTTTGTCTTATGTTTTATAGCGCATTGTTTATATATTGACTAAAAGAGAGCAATTATTTATGATGCATATATAAATTTCATGAAACCTTTTAAGGCATTATATATCATAAATCTTAAAAAAATCCTCTTAAAAAATATCTTGCATTTTTCAAATAAATTATCAAATTGTTATTTGATCTAATTAAATCTTGTTTCAGCTTTTGATGCTAGATCTTTTTGAGCGCTTAGAACATTTTCTCTTAAATCACATACAATCTTTTTAACCTTAGCTATATCTATAGCACTAGGTTTTACTGCTACTCGTAATAGCTCGTCGTAGTATCATCTCTGAGCAGTTGATTTCATAACTGCGTAGTATTTCTTTTAAGATTATGATATTCCGCTGATGATCATCATGCGGCTATTGATGATGATGAAGATGATTTCGAATTTTTCTTGGCTCATGTTTTTTCTTTGTTTTTATTTAAAATTTAAAAAACATTTTTTTTTTGTTTATATATATATTGATTTCATTATTTCCGTTTTACGGCGTAGTTTGTTGAATTAGTTAAGTGGCACACATTAGACCTGGTTCCTTTGCCTTTCTTTCGTGCTTTTTTTTCCAAAGTCTAAAAATTTTTTTTAAATATTTACTTTTTTCGGCAGTTTTATCTTTCATTTATTTTTTGTTCCCTTTTGTTTAGTTGTTTTGTTTGTTGTTGTCATTATTTAATTGATCTCGTTTACGGAAATAAACGCGCAATTGACGTTGCCAAATTCAATAACAAACGACAGTCGAAAAAAACAACAACAATATATAAAAGCTTAGAACGTTGACACGTAAACTCCCTGACTAAAATCATTCAAATTAACACTATTGAAAATATATGCCTAATATTTTTAAAGATTTCTAGTCGTAAAGATTTACAAAAAAACCTACTTTTATTTTATTTTATTTTTAAATAAATT